AAAAAAATAAATAAATAAATAAAATAATTGACAGATTAATCGACGTGCAAAATAATCGTTAGTTGCAGCCCCGGTTTACAGTGACGAATACTGGATCTTAGACGATTGACTGCTGATAAAAACAATCAGGATGTGATGTAAAAGGAAGAAGAGCCTCATCCTATCAACACCAGTGAATCACTGTATACAGTAGAAAAACTGAAATCTGACTAATTTACTGCAATTTACCTCCAAGGTGCCACAAGGTTCTGCACTGGGCCCTAAACGTTTGACATTATCCACAACAAAATTTGTAACACATCAGAGCAGTTGCTATTTACTATTACGTCTACAATATAGCCCACTGGCTAAAGGTTGAAGCAGCTTCTATTTCAGATAAATAATTTCATATAAATCAAAGTTGTAGCTATCTTGGGGTCTTGTTCATGAATGAGGGGGAGATGGAGGGGGAGATCGGCAGGTGGATTGGTGCGGCGTCTGCTACGAAGCATGTGCCGTACGTGCCGTCTGTTCTGGTGAAGAGAGAGCTGAGCCAAAAGGCAAAGCTTTCAATTAACCAGTCGATCTACGCTCACCTCTGCTCATGTACTTTGGGTCATGACCGAAAAAGAACGAGATCCCAGATACAAGCGGCTGAAATGAGTCCCTCCAGGACACGCCGGAGGGACCGTGCTGGGAGTGCCTTGGGATTCCCCTGTAGAAGCTGGACCAAGTGGCTGGGGAGAGGGACGTCTGGGCCTCCCTACTAAAGCTGCTACCTCCACGACCCAACCCCCGATAAGCGGAAGAGGATGGAAAAACAAGAACTTATGGAAAATGTGTTTTAAAATATATCAACACAATTCCAAGTGTGCATCATGGTGAAGAAATGGATGTACAGACAAGGATTAATTTTCATTATATTTGAGACATAATTTGCTTCAATTTCAAATTAATTTGATCGTTAATTATCTTTCATTCTTCGCTATAAAAATGTTATCCATCTTTTATTGGATATACAATTAGAGTTGGGATAATCCTACACTTCTAACCTTGTTTGGTCAGTATTTACTGTACTGAAATAAAAAGGGCTTTCCTGAATTTTTATTAGGAAAAAACAATTCTTAGGCAAGGAGATTTCATCTTACATTTTGGTCAATGTTCTCTAGGATCTCGTCGATGGAGCCGTGCTGTCGGATCAGGTCGATGGCTCTCTTTGGGCCGATTCCCTTGATGGTGCCACAGTAGTCACATCCCAGCAGAATACAAAGATCTATGAACTAGAATCAATAGAGAAATGTGAGGCCGGTGCTGCAGAGATACACATTTACCCTCAGTAACAAGGAGGAAAATAGCAGACTACCTGCTCATTGGTCAGACCCATTTCCTCCAGGATGCGATTAAAGTGGAATTCTTGAACAGGAAGCTTCCTGAAGCAAAAAAGACATTTGTTTATTATGATATTTGTGTGTATTTCCTATAAATGCATATAAAGGCTCTTTTTTGATTTTCATTATAACAATAATTATTGATATCAGTAGAGATCCAGTTTAGCTGTGCTGTCAAGAAGATTAAAAGGTTTTTACTTTGCTTCACTGGCTGTGAGGTGTCTCAGCAGGACGTTTGTCCCAAAGGTCAGTCCATCCATGTCCTCTGTTGCTGTAGCAAAGACCTTTCCTTCTTTAGCCAGAGCAGCACAGCTGGCTTCAGCCTCACAAGGAGCCTACAACAAATACAGGGTTGGTTCAAATCAAATGCAGGGAATTTTCTGGATTAAGTTGCTCAAATTAAAGAACCACAGAAAGCAGCATGTATGTACTGATACATCTGAATATGCTTTTTATATGCAAATTCAATGAAAACTAAGGGCCATGAATTAAAGACTATATATTAGACTGAAGATTAAATATATATCTTAGATTTATATCCACAATACATGAATATGTTATGGACAGATGAGACTGAAATCCTCAAAACTTTTCAAAAAACATGTTGCAAAAAGGTTGATTTTTTTCTAAGCCTCATAAAAGCTGCAAATGCTCACTAAGGCCATCTAGTGGTGAATGAATGAAATGAAAAAAAATCTAACATTTAGTTTTATAAAATTATGTATTTGTAAAGAATAATATAAATACATTGGCAGTCTGAAAAGTTCTCTGTTAATGTGAGGTGGTCTCAGTGAAAATTAATGTGATAAAAGCAAAGATGTAATAACCGAAAATACTTTTATAATTGGGTCTCATTTTGATAAACAAGAAATCTGATCAAAGTGATCCTGAACAGGTGCAAAATTCCTCCTTTTTGACCTCTCCGTTATTAGATTTAAGGCCCGAGTAGTAGACCGCAGCATAAACACACACAAAAAAAAATCTAAACACTGACAAAACCCCCCAGGAAAGTTCCTATTTGGGGTCTGTGTGTGTGTCATGATGCAATGCCTCGATGAGGGGCAGTTCTACTGTTAAAATATGGCACAGAACGATGGATGTTTAATTAACATTTAACTTTTAAATTCATTTTCGATATTAATAAAGTATTTTTGAATTAGAAAAAAAGTAAATATAAAAAAATGTAAATCCTTTATTGTCCCACAATGGGGAAAATCGTACTCTGCATTTAACGCTTCCTCTTGGGGAGCAGTGTGCTGCCATTGTGTGGCGCCCGGGGAGCAATCACAAGGATCTTGCTCAGGGAACCAGAGGGCAGGCTGTGGGAATCGAACAGAATACTAGCAACCTTCTCAGAGCACAAACACACTGCTCTAACCCACTAAGCCAACACTCCCCAAACTGAATGATATGCTGACATTAACAGCGAATGGCAGAACAAATAACTACATGCTAACAGCTGTAATTATTCAATTCAAATTTTAAGATCCTTAAAAAAAAAATCAAAGACTTTCAAGTATGAATGTCTTTTAAAGGCTGATTTTAAAACATTTTAGAACCATAAGCTTTTTTTTCCCCAAATTCACAAACTTTCAAAGTTTTAGTCATTTCCAACCAGCACAGTTTTGACCTTTTTTTATTTATTTATCCATCAAACTTAAATGGAATCGGCATATTTCTCAAAGGTAAGGGTTATTCAATGTTACCTCGATGTAAGGCACACCCATCAGGGTCAGCAGCTTCTTGCACTCGTCGTTATGCTGCTTAGTGACTTTAACAAGTCGCTTGGAGAATTTGTCAATATTCTCCTGCTCACCTGGTTTAAGGAAATAAACAATACTTTTTTTTTATAAACCAGCAGAAAGGAAATGTGCAGATTTCTTTTTACTATATATTTAAAAGTTGTACCCAGTTCCTGAGCTTTAGCAAGCATTTTCTCAGCTTCTGCTCTCCTCTCCCCTCTCTTCTCGAGCTAAACCAGGAAAAAATAGAACAAGTCATGGAAGATAAAGTGCTACAAACAGAATCCCATAAGTCTGATCTAACTCATACAAACCTCTGCTGACTTGAGCTGTGGAGGTTTTCCGTCAAACACGTACACCGGCTTGATCCCATTCTCCAACATTCGGATTGTGCGGTAAAACATTCCCATTAGGTGGCTACAACAAAAATAGAAAGATCAAAGACATCTTTGTTTATTGCCCATAGACCTCTTGGGCAATTGATCTATAAAAATAAAACAACTAAATCTGCAATAGTGATCATAAATCAGTGACTGATAACATACCTTGTCGTCTCTCCATCTTCATTCTGCAGAACGTTCCCATCCTGTCTCACGGCAATCAAGAACTGGTAGATGCACATGGAGGCATCAATTGCAATTTTCCTGCCTAAAACAAACCATCACAATATTTACCCTATTGTTAAGATCAAAATTTCTTAAATCAAGTGTATTTAGCCTTAATTTAAGGAGGTAAATAAGATGATCTGCCAATGGAATTAGTATTTTTACTCTTAATATAAAATATTTAGATAATATGATGATAATATGTGCTTATAATAAGACTATGCAGTTGCTTTTTCTCATTTTAAATGCAAATTGTCTTGTTACATTGGCAAAGTACCTCACTTACCTCCTCCATTCAAGAGAAAATGCACTTATTTTAAGGAAAAAATGACTTATTTAGATTTAGAAAATCATTGCAGTGCAATTTTTATGCAGAAAATAGACTGTTAGAATTACCAAAATAGTTCTTGATGTCCTGCTCTTTAATCGCACCAGGGGCGTGATCAGCAATCAGCTTGGCCAGTCCTTGAATTCCCATCCTGAGATGCTATCTGTAAAAAAGATGCAATCAAAACAATGGAGTCGCTCTAGTTTGCACATCATGCCTCATTTAAACCACTAGAAATATGGAAACCCAACAGTGACCAGTGTGTTTATATATCAGCATTGTGTACTGTTGAATATGAAATGAATTAGCTCTATGCAATAAGAAATATCAGTGGGAGACAACTTTAGAAAATATCTGCTAACACGGTTGGAAGCTAGTTTTGCTATCAAATAGGGGCTATAAAGAACATCTGAATGACTGTAGCGCTACTATATAAGCCAAAGAGATAATTTACATGCAGCTCTAATGTTGTGTTTCGTAATAACGGTCAAAATTTACATGTTTACACACACTTACCGTTTAGCTAGTTTAGCCACGCGCAGGAGCGTTTCGAGCGCCAGTAACTGCGTGTGTTTCGCGGGGAAATCTATTAGCAAGGCGTTACTAGTCAAACCGTCGAACATCTCAGGATCACAGACCATTGCGGACCCGCGCATCGATCGCTCCGTGCGATTATACTAGCCTTAGCACTAACGCGGAAGTCAAACCGGAGAACTGGATTGGTTCTTTGAGGTTGGAGGAAATCCGGGTCCGTGGAAAAATAGTGAATACGTTGTGCTATCAAGGATTCAATCATTTTTATTTTATTTTTTGGTAATTTCCCGCTGAGCATTGGAATAATGATTTGAAAAAAGGGTGGGATATTACAGCTAATAAAATAGCTGTAACATAGGATATGTGTTTGTTTTGTTTCTCCGCCCTAACCGGAAAAGTGGAGCAAGTCGTCATTATTTTTTATTTCTTCAGGTGACGTGTTGTCGGATCCCCGTTTTCTTCTCTTACTCCTGTCAGTAAAAGTACTGAGTGTACCCGGATTTAAGCGAAGGGGTGGGGGCAGTTTAACGTGCAGCATCCCGGATGTCCCCCGGTGTCCGGCTCCAACGTTAAGGCTACTCGGTGAGCGTTAACGGACCGTCTGGGCCTGGAGTCCGAGCGATCCAGCCGCCACACTGGTTTGGTTGCTTCTTCATCGCCACGGAGGTGAATCGACGGTGAGACTGAATGATCACAGTTTTAAAAAAACTGTTTGAGGTATTTTAAAACGACAAGTTAATATATTTTATGTTTATGCACAGGTATTAGTGAAAGTTTCAGTGTGATGAAGGTTCTTTAAAACTACTTACTCTCACTTGTCACCTAAACATATCATTTGCTATGATTTTATGTCATTTAATCAACATTGTGAGTTTTAATCAGAATCAAAAACATCCTAAAATCAAGTTTGCATTCCATAATCTGTATTTTGAACTACTGCTAAATTAAATTATCTATTTCTTTCCTATTTATTTGCATATTTCCCCTATTCATATACGTTAACTGCTAATATGTATGAAAATTACATAAAAATGAAACCATAACTGGAAACATTTATGGATTTGCAGGAAATGTTGGTCAAAAATAGATTGATTTGAATCAGTCTGTGAAAAAAACATGAGCAGAATGGGATGGCTTGTGCGTTTGTTTTATTTTTTTAAGTTATTCAGAGATCATGTGAAGGCCAGCTGTAATAGAAACCATTTGGACGGTATCCTGAGCTGAAGTCCAGCATAACTGCTGCATCACCCACTGCTTCCACTCATTGTTATCAGGCTTTTACAGCAATGCAAACTCATTTATGGCTGGTCTGAAAAATGTTCTTCAATTTATATCTTTCAGGCAGTTTACTGAGTCCCTGTACTCATTGATAATCTGATTGTTTTAACCTAAGTAGACCCAGAAAGTAAAGAAACAGATTTATACTGTCATTATCTTTTCCATTAGACATCACTACATGCAAGGCAGTATCTGTCATGGTGTTTTAGGCCAGGGGCTTGCACTGATTTCAAGTGATGCACTGGAGAAGCTTGATTGAAAGCTGTCAAAATTTGCCACCATGGTGTTTACAGGGATCAGCTGGAAACCGGTGGCTTCTGGGATGAAATCAATCCAAAGAAACAAGAGGATCTTTTTCATTTCATGTTGTTTTTTTAAATGTTAAAGAATTTAACTTAATCCTACAGCAGAAATTTCTGCATCATTACTCAGCTGGGTGCCTACTGTGAGTGGATTTTTAGATTTAGATTTTGAGAGGGGGATGGAAAAAAAAGCAATGACACAAAAAGTCTATTTAAACTCTTTTTAATCACAGCTAATATGACTTGTTTTTCTTCTTTAGCCAATAAAATCTTGTACTTATGCATCTTTATTTCATTTTACAGATGTCCTAAATAGGTCACCATAAGTGAAATCTGTGATCATTGTAGTCTGCCTTTCTTTTCAGCTCAATATCTCATAAAATACAGAAGTGACGGAAGTTCTGGTCTGCAGACATGACCTAAGAAAATCCCTTTAACTTAATATACCGTCAATAATAGATGAGCTTACGCTGTAACACTTTCATTCTGTTGTGTTTTATCTGTCTTCATAGTCATATTTGTTTGCACGTTTCTCTAGCAAGCTTTTTATTGGGAGGTTTAAGATGGTATGAATGTGTTATCTTTATTTAAAACCACCAGTCAACCTGCTGTAGTTTTAAAACAGCATTTCCTTATAAGAGATGATGAAGTGCACGTCTTATGTTTCCTCACCATGACTATCCATTTTTTTTTTCTAACTAAAGCTAAATTTGGGTTGCGATAAGCAGTAGCCTTCTACTACGTCTTTCAAAACCGTCTTTCAGCCAGCTGACTGGCAGTGGCTGAAGTTTGCATGATTACATTTTATGACTCTCAGGCTTAAAAAAAGGGCATCTATTTTTAGAAAGGCTATTATGAAAAAAAATATCTAAACTAGTTTGGATGTTGGAGCAGTGTGAATCGGTGGCAGTTGATATTAATAGCGACCAGGCTGCTAGTAAACAACAATGAATGTTTTAACACTGAAACTTAGAAGCATAGGAGTGTGTGCTCCATCGATTTCTAGAGATTCCTGGAAATCAGCAGATGTTGAAAAGAAGCTGTTTTGTTTTCACTGCAGCCTTCATGGAGGATGTAAGATCAGAGACACAACTTTAGGACCTTTCTGTTAAGGTTTTCAGTGATTAACTTTAAAAATCCATGGTTTCAGTAGTTAATGAGCTGGGAGAGGTTTTTTGTTTGTTGGTGTTTTTGTAATAAAACACAAAAAAAGCAGGAAAAAGTCCCAAAATGTCTGCTATAGCGATGATTCAATGTGAAACCTATTGAAATAATCATGGATTTTTTTTCCTTAGCCTCTTACACTGAGCCTCCCTGTAATCTCAGCCTGTTTCTGTTTCTGAAGACGAATGTGTCTTTGGTTAAAGTGCCAGGATGCTCTGGTTCCAAGTCAAAGAAGTTCACATAACAAATTCCTTTATAATACACAGCTCTGACAATTAGTCGTCAAATTAAGAAGGCGTGCCATCACTTTTTTAGAGCTCTAATTGTCTTTTTTTATTGTAACAAAAAAGAAAAAAAAGATGAGCTCTCTATTAAATATATGATAAGGTTTGAAATATTATATTTACATATTTTTAAATTAAAATCCACATAGTTGATGAGATTTAGGTCCATATCTCTTTCTAGAAAAACACAAACAAGCAGAGCAGCATCTCGTTTTGAACTTTTAAGACTTTCATGATGCTAAAATTCTTCAAGTTGTGTTTTAATCAATTTTAAAACATTAAAAAAATGAATGAAAGACTGATTAACCCTGTTTGGAGTACTGGTAGTAGTTTGGACGTCTAAATAGAGAGAGATGATCGCCACAATCTGATAAACTGTGTGTTTGCTGCAGGTGCTGGAACTGGATAGCTCCCCGGTGGCTACAGGAGGACGATGGCAGCGCTCTGTGTCTTGATCCTGGGCTTGTTCTCAGGCTGGGCATTGGGCTACAAGCAAGGGGACAATGTGACTCTTTATGTCAACAAAGTGGGCCCTTATCATAACCCTCAGGAGACTTATCACTACTACACCCTGCCTGTTTGCAGACCAGATAAGGTCAGAACTCACTGCTCTGAGGACGTAATAAAACAAGGGCTTTCAGTTGCTGTTTTAAACCACTGAATTTACGGATTCATTTATTTGGAGGATGTTTCATTTCACATTGGCAGCATCAATAAACAAAAGCTTTCAGTCAAACTGCTGTGAATCTTGTACTTTTAATCCACAAATATAGTAAAATTCCTGTATGTGTTACAGTTTTGCTATAAAGGAGAATACAATGCACTTTTAGCTACTTTAAATAAATAAAGTAAAACATTAAATGTCCCTTAGTGTCCTTAACCAGCCTTTATTGGGCCCTTTCTTTTGTATAGACAATAAAAGATGACTTTTGCTGACTTATTGTATAGTTTTTTGTAGGCCCACAAAGCTTAAAGTTGCTCAATGAAATAGTACTGGCATGCGGCGACGGAGGTTGGCTGATCTTTAACTGACTCGGGCTGCTTCCTATTTCTCATTGACAATCCCACCTGTTGTTTTTGCGTGAAATCTTCAGGTGCACCACAAGTCCCTGAGTCTGGGCGAAGTGCTGGACGGGGACAGGATGGCCGAGTCTTTATACCACATCCGCTTCAGAGAGAATGTGGAAAGAAAAACTCTCTGCAAGCTCACTCTATCAGAAAAACAGGTAATTTATAGGCTGCATGGTAACAGTTCAGCTTTTATTGCTGCAGCCTACTCATACATTGAAAGTATCATACGTGTGGTTCAATGTTTGATTTCTGACTGTTTTGTTCTTTGTTTGCTGCAATTTTAGGCTTTAAATATCTGCTTTGCCTGTAAATGTGGGCTAGTTTAGCTGAAGATGGATTACACTCAGTGGTTCTCTCCATTTGTGAATAAATTTGCTTCTTTTCTGTGTTCCTCAGGTGGACGAGCTCCGCGAGGCCATCGAGGAACTGTATTACTTTGAATTCGTCTTAGACGATATTCCCATCTGGGGGTTTGTGGGATACATAGAGGAGAGCGGCTTCCTGCCTCACAGCCATAAGGTGAACAGAGGACCTGTGTAGATCTGTTGTACGCCATCCTGTCGCCTTCTCACCCTCGGTCGCCTCTTCTTCCCTGTCAGGTGGGTTTGTGGACTCACCTCGACTTCAACATCGAGTACAACGGCGACAACGTGATCTTCGCCAACGTCTCTGTGAAGGACGTCAAGCCCTTTCCCCTGGAGGAGGGGGCGGGGTCAGCGGTGGGGGGAGTCGGCGTGGGGGGAGGCAGCCTGACCATCACACACACCTACAGCGTCCGCTGGTACGAGTCCAACCTGCCTTTTGCTCGGAGAGCCGAGCGCCTCAGAGATTACTCGTTCTTCCCGAAAACCCTGGAGATCCACTGGTTGTCCATCATCAACTCACTGGTGCTGGTGGTGCTGCTGCTGGGCTTCGTCATCATCATCCTCATGCGGGTCCTTAAGAATGACTTTGCCAGGTGAGTAAGCATTTAGCTATCAGTGCTCTGATGAAACCCGGTGAACACAGCTTCACTTCCCCCATTTTAGTCAGTTTACTGTTGTTCTACTGTTGAGTTTTAACGAGAATTCTTTAGTTTTCTGCTCCATGTCTGGATTTAATAGCGATCAAGAGATATTTTTGATGTATGTAAAGTTTATGTCCACATTCGGGCTGAAACAATGAATAGGATTAATCGTTACGGAAATAATCATCAACTAATTTAGTAATCCATTAATCGTTAAATGGAATATAGAGACTGTGAAATATGCTTTATCAAAATTGTAAAAAAAAAATATATAAAAATTTTGTAAATTTGAGAAAAAAAAAAAATAACTTTTTCATCTATCAATACTCCAAGTGGATATATTTTTGTTTCACCTGGTTTAATTTTGTAAAAAAAAATGTCCTTAAAGGAATAGTACACCCAAAACATGATTAGCCTTCATTTTCTACTCACCCCCATGCTGAACAACACTCTGGAGTACTTTTTTGATATCTCAAATGCATCTGGAGATCTGGGAGGCTTCTTGCTGTCTGCTGACATTCAAATAATGGAGGTCTATGGTGCCCGAGACAGAAAGGTCCATAAAAGTCCACAAAAAACGTGTCAATATTCCTCCATACTGCTCGTCCAATGTATTCCAAGTGTCCTGAGTGGGTAGCATCCAGAATTTACTCGAAACAAAGTCATTTAGAATGTTTTTAGAGCATAAACAGTAGTGTATAGGATTTCCTAAGATCTCGTTCACGAGTCTACGGAAACCGCGGCAGACCAAACCAGATGAAAGTGCGCAAAGCCCAAAAATATACATTATAAGTTTGCCTTTTTATATTCTATGCTTTTAACGCTGCAGTGTTGGTAAAATTAAATGCTAATTTTAACAAAAAAGTATCAATTTTGTATTTTGACCTTTATCAATAAATTTGCCTCCAATTGGCTCTTAGAAACGTCATTTAAGAGTCAATGCAGAGAACCATAGGAATAAAATATGCAATAGGAATAAAATATTTAGGAGCAAAAACTAGTCCTAGTTGGTGGCATTGGTGACTCAGGGTAGAATGCGCCATCCATGTGCAACTGGTTTTAGTTCTCAACCATGGATTTTCTTCTCTCTCCATCCAATTTCCTGTAATCTAGAGAAGTCAATCTAGAGAAGTAATTTTTTCTTAAAATAAGTGCATTTGTTCTTGGATTGAAGAGGTAAAAGAGACATTTTGCCAATGGAGCAAGACAATTTACATTTAAAATAAGAAAAGACAATTGCATTGTAAATTTCAAGTGTATGTTATCTACTTATCTTATTTTAAGAGTAAAAATGCTCACTCCATAGGCTCCATCTCATTTACCTACTCAGATACAGGGTACGGTAAATACTCTTAATTTAAGGATTTTTTAAACTTATTTCTAGATCGTTTTTGCAGTGCACTAGTGCCAAAAAATAAGAAAATAATCTCAGTTAAAAACAACTAGAATCCAAAGATTTTGGTCAGACTTTCATATCTGTTCACTGCTAACAGACGGTGGTGAAATCATTACAACACAGACTAAAATAAGTTCTTTAAATGGTATTGTAGTGGCAATTGTTTGTCAAACCAAACATCCAATTAAGTTCCAATAAGCCACTATAGGCACTGGGGTCACGTTTTCTTGACGCAGGCAAAAGAAGTGGAAGTCCAAACTTGTAGATGTTTAGTTGATTTATTTCCTATACTTTGTCACATTACAGAGTTCAAACTTTCCTTGCCCTGTTACCTCTCTTGCACTGGTAAAAACCCATAGGCCCCTAACCCAAATGCCTGCTGGTCCTTACCAGGCTCCTACAATTATAGAAAGTGGACCGCCCACATTTCTTCCTGTTTTACATAAAATAAAATAAAGAAAAATAATAAAACAACAAAAAATAGATGCACAAAAATGCAACAATTAACCTATAAATTAAGTCTGTAAATAATACAAAAAATATATAAGTTTAGGAATTAACACAATTCAAATGGATAAAGAAATAAAGAATAAATAGCTCCAACAGGTATTTATGAAGGTAAACAGTCAGGGATAAATGGTTTAGCTGAAACTTTAAACATTTTGAGTTTGTAAAGCAAGGATTTAGACTGAATTATTAAATTGTTCTTTACATTCTTTGAAGTGAAGGAAAAAGGTTCTATTCTTAGAATTGTAGCTATATTCTCTGTATTTTTTCATTGCAATTGTTATGAACATGTTTGTCTGTAAACTTTTTTTAAGTTTTAAAGTTTGTGCTGGTCGGCCTCAACATGCTGCTGGGTTGGTTCGGGTTACAAAGCCTCTTTAATCTTCAAGTCACCAGAAATGTGCATAGCTTCAGGGATTGCTTCTAAACATAGATCTGACTGAACACGTAAATATAGAAGATAAATGATACATGAATGATACCAAGAATATTAGAATTGAAAAAACATTCTAGTTAACTAATAAAAAAATAAAAATTTGACCCTAGTAAAAAAAAAAAAAAAAAAAAGCTAACTGAAACTGTACTAAGAGTTTACAAAAGTTATTTAAATGAATTGAGTTTTAAGAGAGATTTTTTTTCGTTTTTTCGTTTGTGTCTTTATCATAATTCATTCATATAGGGTCTAGTTTGAGGTTGCTGTTTTCCCCGGGGGACGAATTGCTGGGGCGGGGCTTGGAACCCGTTCATTATTACTTACTATTCTAGTTTCCTTTTTCTTTCTTTTTTTTGTCTTGGCCCCAGTATGTAAGTGAAATTACATAAAAGACTAAAACTATAACTAAACTAATAAAAACTTTTGCTAAAATAAGAAATAAACCAGGTAAAAAATGAACTAGAATCGAAAATAAGATTGTCAAAATGGGGCTAAAAAGTCTCTTTAATCCTTTCCAGCACTTAGCAAAGCTGTAACTCATGAAAAAGTAAATAAATAAAAGTTAAATTCTTGATAATGCTGTTCCTATATAAAGCTATCTACTGGTATCCTATCAATATTCCGTTCCAGTCCTGTAGAAGCAATCTATTTGCAAACTCCCCACACTATTTTAAATGGCTACTAAAACATGGATGGCTTAAATGAGTTGTGCTTTCTGACTGAAGGACTGGAGTTTTACTAATTAAGGAAAGCTAAATGTTAAAGTATACAGAGGTATAACTGGCGGGTGAGGTGTTTAAAAAGCCCGGTCTGTCGTTTTTCAGGTACAATGTGGAAGAGGAGGGCGGCTGTGATGATTTGGACCAAGGAGACAACGGCTGGAAAATCATCCATACAGATGTTTTCAGGTTCCCGCCCTTTAAGAGCCTGCTGTGTGCCGTTCTGGGCGTTGGAGCTCAGTTCCTGACCCTGGCCACTGGTAAGCCTTCAGACAGAACCATAGATGGAAACATTCAAACAAAGGGCTAATTCCCATGGAAACCATCACTGTTCAGAAGCAGAGTGGCTTCAGCTCCAAACCTTTAGCAACAATTTGTAGAAACAAAAAAAAAATAATCTAGAAGTCAATGAGAAGCCCATCTTCAATGTTTTGCTGGAGTGGAAATAATTTCGCCTCTCTTGTTACCTCAGCCATCATCCTCATGGCGTTGCTGGGAATGTTCAATGTCCACCGACACGGGGCCATCAACTCGGCCGCCATCGTCCTGTACGCTCTGACCAGCTGCGTATCGGGCTACGTCTCCTGCAGCTTCTACACGCAGATCAACGGGCAGCGCTGGGTGTGGAACATCATCCTCACCTCCTCTCTTTTCTCAGGTGATGTTTTAAGTCTGTTCTGTCTTAAATCTCTAATTTAATTAATTTAAACATAAGATAAGATCCAAAGCAAGAGCGTTTTAAATATAGGCAACTTTTATACATTTAGCGGGCTCAATTAAACTAGAATGGCTCTCTAAGTCTTATTTTTTATGGAGGAAATTGTGCAAACTCAAATAGTTCAGCTGGGAAGAAGGAAAGACAATTACAATTTACTTATCTCTAGACAAGTTTAAAAAAAACTCTTACATTGCATGTATGTACCCTCAATTTGAGTAGGTAAATAAGATGATTTGCCAATGAAAATAGTATTTTACTCTTAAAATAAGATGATTAGATAATATGCTTTTAATGCAATTGTTTTTCCTTAGTTTAAGTGTAAATCATCTTGCTGCATTGGCAAAGTTTCAGACTTACCTCCTAAATTCAAGAAAAAAATGCACTTATTTTAAGAAACAACTTATTTAAATTTCTATTTTTTTCAGTGTGCTGATTTATTCATGTTTCTTGTTAACCTTGTGTGTGAGCTCAAACAAGCGGTGTTTGCACTGAACATCCACAGGGATGCTGAGGTTTTCACTACAGCACTGGGACGATATTTGATAAATAAAACCGCAGCATAAAGGCTTGTTCTGGTATTCCAAGGTCGTGGGCCTTGGCTGATCTTTCTGCTGTCACAGATGTTTGGAAAAGATCCTTTAAAAAGGTTTTTACTGATGAACTTCTTCTCAGCTGATGTCAGGTCTATGAAAGCTCTGCTCTACGTTTGCTGAAAACAAAAATGTCACAGTAGGGAATTGGTGTTTATTTATTGGCCTTAATCAAAGTTAGGTGCTGCAGGTGGAAATTAATTGAACTTTTAATGAAAAGAGTATTAAAATACCCTTTATTACTTTGCATTTTATAGTTAATCAACAATTATTAAATAAACAGCTGTTAGATAAAGAAAATCACACCTTTTTTTTTTTTTTTTTTTTTTTCAATGAAGAAAAATGTTGCTCAAATATGATTTTTTTTTTTTTTTTTTTTTGCCCCTAAATGAGTTATCTTAATTAGTCCGGCTTCTTGCTGGGGTAGCTAGGCTGCTATTGTCTGCTTAATAACTGTACTTCAGAAGTGATGTGTTGAGCTCCTTTAACCTACCTATCAAGATGTTTTGTGTTTTTAATGTGTTTTTTTTTCCTGTTACTTTTACCAAACAATCCAATTTGTAGAAACATTCTTTCAGCCTGCTGAGCAGCAGTGAGCAGCAGCCTCCGTTATTTTAAGCTCTAAACAGCCGGAGAAAAACTCTGACGTCCGATACGAGGACTCTGATCTGAATTAAAAATTTTGAAGTTTTTAAAACTCACTTTTCGAAGCAGCATGCTAATGACCAAACATTTTAAACATCAATCCCTCCTGTTTGTGTCAAATCAGCAGAATGCAGCGTTAGGAGTTAATATTTGTTCTCCTTCCTCTTGGATTTGGTTTTCCTGCGCATGCTGCAAATCTATGGGTTGAGTAGGTTTCATCCATTCAGCAGATTTTCAAGGTGCAATTTAATATTTGAATCTAGTGGGAATGTGCAAACTTAGTGAAAGATAAGAGAAATGATCAGGACATAAATAATGTCGTTAATATTTTTTACAATTTGCATTGTTGTGTTCAAGTTAATGGATTCCCCTGCTCATATGCTTCAGTTGAGCTCTACTGATGCATAAAGTGTTAGTAGATGCGTTCTGCTGACTGTGGGTCCCACATTTCCACAGCTCCCCTTTTCCTCACCTGGAGCGTGGTGAACTCCGTCCACTGGTGGAGCGGCTCCACTCAGGCTCTGCCGGCCACCACAGTGCTCCTCCTGCTGTGTGCCTGGGTTCTGGTTGGCTTCCCCCTCACCGTCATCGGCGGGATTGTGGGAAAGAACCGGGCCGGCAGCTTCCAGGCGCCGTGCCGCACTCGTAACATCCCCCGGCAGATCCCCCCTCAGCCCTGGTACAAACACGCCGTGGTACACATGGCCATCGGTGGCTTCCTGCCTTTCAGGTGAGGTCTGACTCTGCGTGAAGATGGGACAGCTTTAGAAATTTTTAAGTTTGGATATCGGCTTCAGATTGTGTCAGCAATGGCTTTCCACAAATGCTCTGGATTAGCAGATGCAGCACCTTGCTAAAGAATTCATACTTTTTCATATGTTGTCACATTTTATCCAGTTACTTCCTCGTGTTTGTTGGTTTCTATTTTATATTTAAACACAATGCATCATTTTAAAGGAGATGTAAATTGCTGGTTTAAAAAAATCTTACAAATTCACTTTATTGTTTTTGTTATTTTTTTTTTAACCAGGTGTAGGAATAAATCAGGTTCAGTCAGATCGGATGTAAAATCTGCTGGTTTTCTTCCAGTTAAGCTGCATCTATAAATCCAACAACTCTGACCCCCTTCCCTGTCCTTGTTTAAGAAAACTATCCCCACAGGATGATGCTGCCATCACCATGTTCAACAAGGGGATTTTGAGTTTCGTATGATGTAGGCCAAAGGTTTACGTTTAGTTTCAAGAGACAAAATGTAAAAAAGTTCACGAGAACTAATTATTTCATAAATAACTGTACATATTATTTCCTATTAGAATAATCTGCCTTTACAGATTATTGCATTTAGGATTGTTTAATCCCTGCATTTTGATCTATATTTTAACTCTACCTTCCCTTAGTGCCATCTCAGTGGAACTCTACTATATCTTCGCCACCGTTTGGGGCCGAGAACACTACACCCTCTACGGCATCCTGCTCTGCGTCTTCGCCATCCTCCTCTCGGTGGGCGCCTGCATCTCCGTAGCCCTGACCTACTTCCTGCTGTCGGGCGAGGACTACAGGTGGTGGTGGAGGAGTGTGCTGAGCACCGGATCCACGGGCCTCTTCATCTTTGTCTATTCTGTTTTCTACTATCGTAACCGCTCCTCCATGAGCGGCCTGGTGCAAAGCTCTGAGTTCTTCGGATACTCCCTGCTTACAGCGATGGTGTTCTCGCTGATGCTGGGCAGCGTGTCGTTCTGGGCATCGCTGGCATTTATTCGCTATATCTACCGCAGCCTCAAAATGGATTGAACTGCAGAGGCCCCAAACAAACAGACGCAGCGACAGACTTCAGTGTCTTCTCTCACTCCATGTCTCCTGTTGTGTGAATGGGAGAAGTTCTAGGGGCCTTGGACTTTTCATGAAGGGTTTTATAATGAACTCCAAATGCAGGTTCTGGTTGAATAAGGGAAAGTATGTGTGTTGGGATGTGGGATTCAGGAGGAAAAGAGACAATTGCTCTCTGCTAGCATCATGAGTAAAACTTGCTATGATGCATTAGTGTGCATCACCCGGTACTTAAAGTGCATCAACAGGTCTAGCTAAATCCTGTTATTTGCTGTATTATGCCGGCCATTAAAAGTTATAGAACATGAATAAAATGCTGTGGTGCAAGTGATACTTGCAGCGACTTCCACAACCCGTTACAAAAAAAACAGAAATGTTTTGCACGGAGATGAAGTTTTTTTGTGCTGGAAGAAATGCCTTGTAGATTTAAGAGCTTTTGCTAAATGTTGGGAAGGGGAGCAATATTGTAATTGTACTGTATGGTCACCATTGACTTTGGTTCTGATGTAAATACTTTTTCAATAAAGTGCTTTTTAATACAAAGCAAAGAAAATAGCTCTGTAGGTTTATTAGTTCATGTGGGGAATTCACTTTAAAAGCAACACATTCACATAGACAGGGACTGCAGCTGTCATTTTATACATCCAAAACTAAAGGAATGGGATGGTCTAAATTAAATTAGATATACATGGTTTTTAAATGATGTAATTCAAAGCATTCTGTAAAAGAAAGTATGCACAAACATTTAAAGCAATTTCTAATCATTTCAGGCTTACAACTGAAAACTAAATTATGTTTACATCACCCTGATAATGTAGTTTTGCCAAAAGAAAAAAAACACTGCAGTTCAGTTGGATACTAATACTTGGATGTCATTTAGGGCAAAAACAGATTATGAAGCTAAAAAAAAAAAAAAAAGGGAACTTGCTAGATTCTAATATTTTCTTTTTGAAAAGTGTGGTAATGGTAATAGTTTATATGGAAATATCTGAAAACTGCCAAGGGAACATGAAGGGGCCAGAATAGCACCAGCAGGACCTGCTCTGCTTCTTATTAACCATCTTACTGGATTATAGAAAAGCTTTATGCCAGTTTGATTAAAGACAACACCTCCAACTTGCAAACAGAACTTGTATTTATTAAAGAAATTCCTTTCAATAAGTGTGCATGTCAAGTTAGCTTGTTTGCATGATCTGTAAAAACTTGCAGAACAAAGTGCATCCAAACCAGAAACATCTGGTATGACGAAGCATAAAGGATACACGTTAAATAGTCTCATATAAAAACAAAACTCCCCAACAGACCAGAACATATGCACACCCTGCTTATAAAGCTGTGTTTAACTACAAATGACGGCAAACAACTATTAACATGAGCTGGATGGACAGACGAAGCTACTGGTTCCTATCATGAACCATAGCTGTGTTCATGGAGCTGCTGACAGGCTCCCGGTCCTTGCTCTCAGCAGTAGTGGCGTGTACATAGTTGTTTGCGCAGGGGTTGTAATCAAAGGAAACGCCTCCTTGTGGCACCGCCCAGCCAGCCGGATGGGGCCGGTTGGGCATGACTGCTTGTGACGCGTTAGTGGGCCACGGTGGATACCCAGCAGATCCAGCAGCAAGGTAGTAGGCCAGGTTCTGTGAGGTCTTCTTATAAGTTGCCTCCATGATGTGCTGGTTGTAATGACCCCTGAACTGGGGGTGGCCATCTGCTTGATACTGCAACAAAAACAAATATGGGGGAAAAAAATTAGCCAAGCGTTTAAATGTGCATGTTGAAAACAGTGTCGTGTATGTAGTGTTGCATCACGCCTTTAAGGCCGTAACCATAACTGCGGTTAGACCTCCATTATGGATGCATTGTTCTGTGTCCGGATCGCTATCCCTCTGTTACATCTCAAACAGGGAACTCTTACTGGACACCATCATAGCAGATCCACGCTAACAGAGCCACTTACAGGTGGGATGTGTGAGGCCATGTTGGAGAAGACGGGTCTGTGATAGGAGTTCTCCTTGCGGATGGAATAACGCTCAGACACCCAGCTCGTATCCTTCTGATGCCTCCTCAGCTTCATCCTCCGGTTCTGAAACCATGTCTTCACCTACAAAACACATAACTGTTATAAAGTGTATAAAAACTAAAACATACTTAGCTCTTCTCTTGTTGAGCGCCCCTTACCTGTTTATAGGTCAGTCCAGTCATTTCTGCCAGGTTCTTCATCTCAGCTGGTGTGAGGTACCTCTGAACACTGAAGCGCTGGACGAGAGCGTTCATCTGGCTCTCAGAGAAGGCTGATCGGACCTTTGCTTTAGGATTGGTGGACGTAGCAGTGCAATTCTTCTTTGGGGCAGGAAAGGGAGCCTGTGCATGGATGGGGCTATTGTTGGCCTCGTTCTCTTGAACAACCAGGTTCTGGGGAGAGTCCACCAGGGAGCTGGAAACATCTTCGCTGCCACCTGGGCTCCTGATGAGCGGCTCCTCACAGACGTCCCTCTCCACCCAGGTGGTGGGGTCCACATGCGGAAGGCTGCCTTCCCGGCTACTCACAGAGCTCCAAGAATCTAAATGGAGGAAAAAGAAAAAAAGGGTACAAGGTCTGCCTATTAGTAAAAATAAAATTTGATGGCTGAAATAACTTAATTATATATTTAACTAAAATTGAAAATTTTTGCAGAAAATGAAATACCTTGCTCAATCGAACATATTTTTCGACATTTTTCTCTCTCTTGTATTTGTGGAAGAGACCATCTCAGAGTAACAAGTTTTCGGTGCGTTTATACACAAAAATATACTTTTTACTACATAAATGTATTAACAAGATTAAATGAAATGGCAATAAATATTTGATTATAATTCAAAATATTCAATTATAAAACGCTTTTGAAATTGGTTCTCTTTGTATATTTTGAGTTTTAAATTTGAAATCATCCATTAAATGATTTACGGCCGTGCCGCTCAGTCGCTAGATGGCGCCACCTTGGTTTTCTACGCACCGAGTGCCGCCATATTTAACGAACCATGGATTCCTACCTTGCGACCCTTGAGGAAGAACTTTTCTCGTATATTCAAGGATATGTGAGTATGGTTTAAAATAAATGTCGTGAAACACTTACCAGGGGAAGTGTGCGCTTCAGAGTCGCTGATTGAATCACTCCTGGCCCGTCTGACTTCACCCGCTCCTCCATAGATCTCCGGCGGCGGCGCGGCTAGCGTTAGCTGCCCTTCATGGCTGTCATGGAGATAAGACAGTTCGGTTCCCGGGTAGCAATTCCTGCTCTCGGGGCTGCGCGGAGGGGACTCTTCGCCGGTCATGGTGGTATTTATATCGGTAGCAACGCTCTGCGTAGCGCCGCCATTGTAGCTGCTCAGGTCGGTGAGTCCGCTATCGCTCCAGGCGGGCAGGTGATTCTGTCCCGCCATGGGCTGATACAGAACCCCGTAGTAGGTCTGATAGGACGGGTTATAGCTGTAGGTCACCTGCGTCTTCCACTCTGCCATTTTCCAGCTACCTGTGCGCCGAAATTAAAAAAAAAATGAAATGCAATAAAATATCTAAACCTTTGCTGATAAAAGAGCTAAAACTGCGACTTTGTAAAACATCGGGAGAATACTAAAAATCTCTACAAAAAAAAAAAACAGGCAGGGTGCTCATTCAAACATTTTGCGCGCGGAGTGGCCGCTGCTCAGTGTGGGTTTATAGGGCGTTGTGTGGGCGTGGCCCCGGGCTGAGCGGGTGCTTTGCTCTCAACCAATCTGCGCCTCTGTCCAACAGGTAAATACGGAAGAGGATTAGGGCCACTGAAAAAAAAAATAAATTCGCTGATTTTTAAATTTTATTTCAGTATAATATGACAAAAAAGTCAAAATTCTGACTTTAATCTCAGAATTCTGACTTTTTTCTCAGAATTCTTACTTTAATCTCAGAATTCTGACTTTAATCTCAGAATTCTGACTTTTTTCTCAGAATTCTTACTTTAATCTCAGAATTCTGACTTTAATCTCAGAATTCTGATTTTAATCTCAGGATTCTGACTTTAATCTTAGAATTCTTACTTTAACCTCAGAATTCTGACTTTAATCTCAGGATTCTGACTTTTTTCTCAGAATTCTGACTTTAATCTCAGAATTCTGAATTCTGACTTTTATCCCAGAATTCTGACTTTAATCTCAGGATTCTGACTTTTTTTCTCAGAATTCTGACTTTAATCTCAGGATTCTGACTTTTTTTCTCAGAATTCTGACTTTAATCTCAGGATTCTGAATTCTGATTTTAATCTCAGAATTCTGACTTTAATCTCAGGATTCTGACTTTTTTCTCAGAATTCTGACTTTAATCTCAGAATATATATTCTAAAGGCTTGTGATTTTCCATCAGGGACCACCTCCATGCTGCTGTGTTCACTCCTTCTAGAGCCTCATCAATCCAGCCCTCCTAAAATTCAGAACTCTCATCATACTGAATGTTTTTGTTAGATCATATTGTTCCATTATTATTATTTGTAGATATAAAAGTGGGAAAAATGTGTTTCTTTTGCAATATATACAGAATATAATTTCTTTTTTAATATATTTCTACTGCTTGATTTTTTTTTACTCTCCACAGCTGATCTTGACTCAGTTGCTAAGGATCAGGGAAGGTTGCTGAAACATGATGAAAAGAGTGCAATATTATGATGCCTTTATTCAAAAGAATCTTATAATTACGTTTATTTTTATTGTGTTTTTGCCCTTCTCCTTGCTGAGTTGCGTCACCTATCACAGCTGAGGTTCCACACTGTATTAACATCATGAATGTGTTTTTTTTTTTTTTTTTTTAAGTAAACTCTCTTGCCTTTATCTGCATTTTCTTTAATTTTTTAAATGAGAAATTAAGTAAAACAACAAAAAATGTTGGGTCAAATCAAGCTGCGTACTCCTGAACATTAAACTGCTGATTCAGTGACATGTCAGGTCTAGCTGTGAGTCTTGGCAGCATCATTAATTGTTTTCTCATTGGGTTTAGACCCAGATTAGAACGAAATAAGCTCAGCATCCAAGTCTGAGTCAGAATGTTCTTAGTTTTTTTGTTTTAACTGTTCACTACCCCATGAACCTTTTTTCACATTGTAATATTGCACACATTTTAACGTGATTTGTCAATATACTAGCACAAAGCAGGACATATTCTAAAGTGGAATGTCACCTGTGCATTTATGTTCAGCCCCTTTACCTTAATAAAATCCAGCACCACCACCTAGTTACATTTTTATGCATCAGTAGCAAAACTATCAACTGTACACGCCAATATTTGGGCTTTATGAAAGCAAATAGTTATTAAAAGAAAACCTGACAGGAAGAACTACTGTTTAAAGTCTGAATTAAGCATGAGGAGGAAACCGGCCCTGGTCAGATGAGGGTAAAACTGGCCTAGATTTAAAGCGCTATATGGAATTTAAACCCACTGTCCTATCAGGAAACATGGTGGAGAAAAGATCATGCTGTGGGGACGCTTTTTTCTTTAACCTGGAGAAAAACATCAATAAAGGTAGATGGAAGACTGATGAAGCTAAATATAGAAAAATATTGGAAAATTCTGTGTTCTGTGGTTTTGTTGGAGGGATACTGACCCCAAGCATAAATTCAGAGCTACAAATAAATGGTCTAGTAGGTTATAATGTTCAGTCAACATCCAGACCTAAAAGAAATGAAGAGGCTGCAGTGTTGAAAGTCATATCAACAGATGTTCCTCCTCCAGTATGACCTGAATGTGTTTCTTATTTATTTTAAAGAAAAACAGGAGAGATCAGAAAAAGAAAGATCGTGCAGCGATGGTGAAGACCCTTAATAACCTGCTACTTTGATCTCTGGTTTGTGGCTGCATTGTATCTATTATATGTATTTTTGGCAGGCCCTCAAACATTATAACCAACTCAAGACTGAGCAAGGGAAGGGAGGCAGACAGACACTGAACTCCACCTTCAAATCACAAACTCCTCTGTCCTGCACAGTCCCGGACTTGTTCATGCAAACGACCGCTCTCCCCATCTGCAAGTCTTTTCACAAAGATGATGACGACCAGGTTGTGCATTACCTCCTGAATGTTGTTTGTGCTCTGCCTGCACGTCTCTGTTGACATGGTAATGATTCAGTTAGTGCTGAGATGATGTGAGAAGATTGAGCCTTAATGGGGACAATAGCATTTCTAACTGATCTGTAGCAGGGTGGGGGGGAGTCTGTCTGATGTTGGACATGCCCAACCCTGACGGCAGGGGGAGCTGATGGAGGTGGGTGCAGGGAGCGGTTGTACAGGTGTGCAGAACAATAGCATCGGTATGTGCTGAGTGGATTACAAAGTGGCTTTTGAAGACAGGTTCTGGGTTTGAGAGGAGAAGTTCCAGGAAATGTGGCTGAATTAGGGAGAATCTCCAGATGCACATTTGCATTTTATTCACCCAGCTCTCTAACTGAGCAGCATGCATTCATTTACAGCTGAATCTAAATGAGCTGGCTGTACTTTTGGAAGGTAGAGAGAGCATGTATAGTAAATTGTAACTGTTTTTTTTTTTTTTTACTGAGAAATTATTTACACATAATGCAGAGGAAAATATATTTACAATATTTATAGAACAAGAGACATTCATGTTACTGTAATTTCAGCTACATAATAAAAAACAGGTAGTAGATTTGCAAAAACAATACTGATAAATGCATTTGAGGGGCTAATAAAGTTGTGAGGGCTTTAAGGTTTGAGATTAATTTGATGTTTGCGGTAAATGAAGGATCAGTTTCCGTTTTATTTTAATGGAGTTGGTTTATCGTTGATCTGATTTGCAGACTGTACGTATTTCTTTATTTCAGTATCTAACGCGAATAAAGAGGGTTTAGTTTAATTGAATTTACTTCTATAAATGTGAAATTTGCCAAATGATATATATAGATTAATTAGTTTTGCCAGTTCTCTGTTTGAATGTGTGAAAATGTGATAATGCTTTGGCCAGAGACTTAGATTTAGACAACTTTTATTGTCGTTTTGTATACATAGTGTATTAAAAACGAAAATTTCGTTTAGTGCAGCTTTTCAGACTGTAAGTGCAGTAAGTTTCCATGCCTTTAAGTGCAGAAGTGATCAAATGTAAACAGTGTGGAAGAAAAAACATGGTGCAAAAAAAACGCATTGTTATGGAAGTTCAGAGCATTAAATTATATGGTGCAAATATGCTGTATTTTTGGTTCGGTGTTATCAGAGTCTGTGACATGGGGGTTATGCTGCAGTAAAATTTTTAAGATAAGTGAAGGTTTTATTTTTATTTTGTTTAACCTTTATTTAAGCAGGGAAAACATCCCATAGAGATTAAAAACCTCTTTTTTAAGGGAGTCCTGGCCAAGATGCAGCAAAGTTACATAAGAAACCGATATACATTAAATTAAATGAAAGGTATATAAAAAAAACATATCAAGTAAAACAATA